GAGCAGCTCTCAGTTTCTGAGGTCCTAGTGGTGAGGGAGTTTGCTGATGTGTTTTCGGAGGAGTTACTTGGAGTGCCTCCGGAGAGGCAGGTTGAGTTCAGGATTGACCTAGTGCCAGGTACGGCCCCTATCGCCAAGGCGTCGTACCGATTGGAACCGCCTGAGATGCAGGAGCTATCATCTTAGTTGCAGGAGCTGTTGGGTAAGCAGTTTATTCGTTCGAGTAGTTCGCCTTGGGGAGCACCGATCCTTTTCGTCAGGAAGAAGGACGGTTTTCACAGTATGTGCATTGACTATAGGGAGCTGAACAAATTAACGGTGAAGAACCGTTATCCGCTCCCGAGGATAGATGATCTTTTCGATCAGCTGCAAGGTGCCTCTTGGTTTTTCCATGATTGACTTGAGAACAGGATATCACCAGGTAAGGTGAGGGAGGAAGACGTAGAGAAGACCGCGTTTCGGACTCGCTATGGTCATTACGAGTTCGTGGTGATGCCATTTGAGCTCACCAACGTGCCGGCTGTGTTCATAGATCTGATGAACCGATTCTGCAGACCGATGCTTGATTGCTCGGTCATTGTGTTTATAGATATCTTGGTGTATTCCAAGACCTGAGATCAGCATGAGGAGCATCTCAGGGAGCTGCTGGAGGTTTTGCGAAAAGAACGATTATATGCCAAGTTCTCAAAGTATGAGTTTTGGTTGCGAGAGGTTTAGTTTCTCGGACATCTTGTTAACCAGGAGGGGATTATAGTTGATCTGACCAAGGTGGAGGCAGTTATGCAGTGGGAGACTCCAAAATCTCCCTCAAACATCAGAAGTTTCCTGGGTTTAGCAGGGTATTATCGGAGATTCATTCGTGATTTCTCGAAGATTACCGTACCCCTCACTCGTCTAACGAGAAAAGGGGTAGATTTCCGGTGGAGCCCTGAGCAGCAGAGGGCATTTGAGACCCTGCCACGATGTATATGTGAGGCGCCAGTGTTGAGACTCCCCGAGGGAGTTTAGGATTTTGTGGTGTTTTGTGATGTGTCCATCACAGGTTTGGGGGCAATCCTCATGAAGAGGGGACGAGCGATAGCGTATGCATCGAGGCAACCGAAGCCGCACGAGACGAGATACCCCACACACGATCTTGAGTTAGGAGCGGTGGTCTTCGCTCTCAAGATTTGGAGGCACTATCTATACGGGATCCGTTGTACTATATACACGGATGACAAGAGTTTGAGACATATCAACAGAGTGAAAGCTTCATCTAGCTAAACAAAAGCAACTAAATTCAGATACTCATGGCTGAAAACATAAACAAAATCTCCATACAAACTGACATGATTAAATTAAACAAACCAATGTAATGAATGTGCACTTCAATCTCTTGATCTCCAAGCTAATCTCTTTCAAAAGGATGCTTTGTGCACTTTTTGGACACCAAATTCGGTTTTAGAATACCTTTCCACCATAAAAACTCTCCAAAAGTTGTCCCCAACCTCCCAAAATCGTAAGAATGAAGGAGTATTTATAGTTTTGGAAATTTCATGCTTCACGACGTGAACAAGGATTTCACGTCGTGACTTGGGTAAAAAAATTTATCGGACAAGGATCCTAACTTCCCACATACTTATCATCTAGAATACTCACTCCACGTCGTGATGTTGATGGCCATATCATGATTTGTGTTTTTCACTGGAAAATAAGCTTCCATCCTCCAAAGTTCCAGTTCTTGTTAATTATGGTCCCGATTCTTCAAGAGTGTTCCTACTAGCTACAAAATTCAATTTAATTTAATAAGTATCACATATCTTTACAAATATCACTGATCAATATGGTATAGTTACGGGTAGCACATCTTTAAACAAATGTGATCTCATTAAAATTGTTGATGGCTTCTTCCTCCTCTGGGAAAAACAAAATCATCAAAACATGAATGATGAAAATGGTTTTCAAAAATCAATCTCAAAAATTATGTTTCGAATGAAAATCTTGAATTAGATGTTAAAATCAAACTCATAACAGGAAAAATTTTGATTTCAATTTTTATACAATTTGGAAGGAGAAGAAGTGGATTGCTTGAATAAGGGTTTGTTCTATGGATTTAAATATCCTCCAATATTTTGGACGAGTTGAAAAAAAAAAGATCATTATCGTTATTATAATTATAATTTTTATTTTTAAATAAATATATTCTCATATATAATATAATAAAAAACATTTGGCTCCAAAAAAATTGAGCCTTGTACAGCTGTCCACTTTGCACATCATTTCACGCCCCTAATGGCTCGAATTTTTCTCTTTTATAAAATTTAGTAAATACATCTGATAGATAACTTGTTTGAGAAAAGAAAGAAGAGTAATATAAACCAACGAAACAAATTCTTAACCAACGTTTTAAAATACTGGTTTAAACCGGCCGATCGAACTGGTTAGACCGTGAACCGGAAGATGGAGCGGTTTACTATCACCGGTTTTATATAGATTTCTAAACTGAGTTGAACCGGCCAGTTTTTAGGAAAACTCGTTGAACCTGTTAAAATAAATCGGTTAAACCGAATAAAAATAAATGGAAAAGAATCATTTGCATAATAAAAATTAGAGATTTTTTTAAAATTATTTACTTTTATCTAAATAAAAACATATGGTAATGCTATAAATTTTTTTGATATGATTGTATTAGTCTAAAACTATATTTTGTTTCGGTATTATACTTTATTTTCTTTTTGATGTTTATGGATTGATGTAAAACATTAAATCTTATGATTATGTGTTATTTTAATATATTTTGATTGGTCCACAATTTATTTTTATATGTATTTTGAATGTTTGAACTTATAAACGTCAAATTCATGATATATATATATATATATATATATATATATATATATATATATATATATATATATATATATATATATATAGGAAAAAAAAATATGAAATTATAGAGACTGGTTAACCCAACGGTCGAAACGGTTAAACCGGTTCAACTAAAAAACCGGTTTTTAAAACATTGTTCTTAACACTAAGCCAAATTTTAAATCAATTTTGAAAAATAAAGGAAAAATGTTTTGAATGAAATTGCATGTGTTTATTCCTTTCATATTTTTTTTTAAACAACAAAGTAATTTAATCCTAAACAATATTTATGTTTCCTAATAAAACTTGAACCTATAATCTCTCATTTTGAAAAAAATCACTGCTTACCGTTAGATCAAAACTACTCTTGTATCCCTTACACTTTGAAGACACCAAAAAAGTGTTCGTAAATGAACGATTCAAAAACTGTGTGGTATTTTAACGTTTCGAAAAAAAGGGTAACTTCGCTCAAAAATATCAAAATCCAATAGGATACAATACTTTGTGAATTACCTTGGGTTAGGTAGAACTTTGAATGCTATGATTGAAAAAGGTCAACTTCGCACAAAAATATCAAAATCCAATAGGATACAATATTTTGTGAATTAAGCTGGGTTAGGTAGAACTTTGAATGCTATGATTAAACTGAAATCAAGTAATGAATAAGGTTGCCATAGATATAGTGACAGAAAAATTAATCATATATAGTAACCACTTAGAGCATATACTATGGACAATTTGAAGTGATGTTATAATAAGAAGCAACAAAAAAAGAGAGTGTTATTCATGATGTTATAACACCCTAGAGAGAGAAAGAGAATTTGTGCAGTCAATAGAAGATCAGGTTTCATCTTGTCATGACCACAACAAAAAGCAACTCAACTAGATACAATAAGAATAAGGGGTGGTGTTCATCTTGTTATAATTAGGTTATGAGGTGCCACATCATTAATAATAACATTTCTGGTTGCCCATACCATATGCTCTTATATATCATTTGGTGACTACTCCTATTTCTCACTCTATTTTCGTCACTAATTAACAGTTTTTAATTTTTGCTTATTTTCCGTATTACAGTTTGGATTATAGAATGCGATTTTTGAAATCATGTGATTGATTAACATTTTAATTTTTGTTATTTTATTCAGTTATAATTTCAAAAAAATAAATAATACCTGTCAAAGTTGGATTCATCATATCTGTTATTACAAGACTGGATGTAATATTTGAAGATTATTTTCAAATGTATAAAACATTCTTCATCTGATATTTTCTTAAACGCTTTTTTGTTCTTAATTCCATCCAAACATTAAAGAAACAAAATATGCCAATTTTAGAGTGCCTCTATACTTGGTACGACGGTTTAGAGAGAGCAAAGTGGACAGTTGTATAGGACTCAATTTTTTTTTATTATATATTTTTATTTAAAAATACAAAATTATAATAAAGATAAAAGCTTTTTTTTTCTTGTTCGTTCTAAACTTTTAAGAATATTTCATTTTCTGGACCACCCTAATATTTGGTCTACAAAAGACAATTAAAAGGATAAAAAGAATATATCATAAGAATATATTTCAAAAAAAAATATATTTCAACTAATAATAATATACTAAATATCATCTAATACAATATTTATCGTTCAAAAAAAAATCTAATACAACATTTAATATGACAAATTTTATTCATTAATGTCTAGTTGGCGATGATAATATGTCTAATACAACATTTATGTTCTCATTATATCATAAGAATATATTTCAACTAATAATAATATACTAAATATCATCTAATACAATATTTATCGTTCAAAAAAAAATCTAATACAACATTTAATATGACAAATTTTATTCATTAATGTCTAGTTGGCGATGATAATATGTCTACCATGTGACAAATAACCGATTGAGATGCATTCCAATAATGTCATTGAAAATCCATAAATTGTTTTATAACCTATTGAATAAAAAATAATTAAATTAAATAACAAATTCTGGATTATTAATAATTATTTTATATTATTAACCCATTTTTCAACCCAATCGTTTTTTTCCTTCTTATCCGATATCTTTTTGCTCCAATGACTAAAAAAAAAAAGAAAATTCAACACACTCTTCAAGTAATAAAAACGTTTTTAAAAGTTTAATTTTGGTCAACGAGGATAGTCTTCCTAAGCCACTGGTATTTTCATATAATATCCGCGTATAATATCATCTACCTACCCTAGTCCACCCTTCATGCTTTCAGATCTGAAATACGCATTTATTTTCACGTTTCCTTTGTCATTTTCATCATCCCCTTATATTATTTATTGAAACTTGAAACACAAAAAAGATTAACAAATTATTTCATTTCAATGGCTTCAACTTCTTTTCTTACTTGTAGTTTGAGTAGCTTTCCTAAGGTTTCATGTCAAAGGTTTGATCCACTCTCGTCCTCCTCCACCACCACCACCACCACTGTATCCGCCAGCTCTCGGTTGTCCCTTGAAAGATCGGTGGTGGCTGGCGGGCGTGTTTCACTAGCTAACCGGAGTTATCTTAGCTCCGGCCACCGGACATCTCAACATGGCAAGAGATCAAAGATGTAAGTGCTTTTATATTCATTAATGATATTGAGTTTCTTTTATTATTTTCTATTATATGGTCAAATCTTTACATCTTATTTAGGGAGTTCGTAGTCTATAGTGCTGACCAAGTTGCAGATCTCCTGCCTTTTGGAATTCATCTCCCTGAAAATTGGTTAGTTTTTTTCTTACTTAAATTGAAGATTTACATTTTATTTATGGGTTTTAATTAATGCATGGATCCACTAACAGAGTAAATGAAACTATATTAGTGAAATCCATATTTATATTTAGTATAAACAATTAAGTGTTTTTTATAGAAAAAGTTTTAACATATGATTACATAAACTAGGAATGGATATTAAACACTATGATACAAATAAACATAAACCGATGTGATGAAATAACTAGTTCTGATATACAATATTCCGTAGAGCCTAATTAACGTATCTTTATGCATATTATCCCAAAAAAACTACTTTGTTACATAAAACAAATTCTAAACCTTATTACATAAAAACACGTTTTTTAGGGTAGATAAGTTTATAGCATATCGATCAACAATAAGTATTTTGAAACAAGTGTGCATATTTTGTAGGCCAGCATGGATCCCAGGAGTTGTATTGGCTGTAGTGGTTCCATTTTTCACAAATAAATGGGGCCCATTTTCAAAATTCAAAGGTAATCCACTATTCGACTTCCTTATGGAAAAACCTTTATTTTGTTCACATCCGAACCAGGCATTTTTTAGTAGAGTAAGGTTAAATTGATAATACAGCTATTTAAATTTATAAAATTTGAATGATTCATGTTTTCTTATGTTAATTAATTCAGTTTTTCTTATGTTAATTAAATAATTTCATATTTCATATTCTTCCAGCTTTACATATTTAACATGTATTTTAAATTTTGTTACCGATTTTGTTTGAGCATATATTATATATATTTTATTAAGAATTTGTTCCAAATTTGGTTTAATTTATAAATTTATTTTTCTACAACTTTTTAAAGATTTTTTACATCCTTTATTTAGATCTTTTCTTACATTTTTTAACATGTTTCATAAATCTTTTTACAACGTTTTAAAGAAAAATATAGTAATTGTTATAGTTATTTACAAAAAAAGAAGTTATAATTTTGTTTTACATTTTCATTGATATTTTAAAGTTATGTTCTAATTTTAAAAACATTTTCAAACAACTTTAATACAACTTATTTTAAACCAAGTATTTGGTAATTTTTTAATTTTTCATAAAACTTTTTAATTTTCTTTTACATTTTCATACAACCTTTTTTATAACTTTCATACAATTATTTTTAAACTTTTTTTACAACATTTCATAGATTTTTTTATAACCTTTTCTATACTTTTTGTAACATTTAAAAATACTTTCATTAATGATTAATCATACAAAATATATATATATATATATATATATATATATATATATATATATATATATATATATATATATATATATATATATATATAACGTTGTTCTATAAACTATAAAAAGAAAAAAGTTACTTTTAGTTAAACCATCTAAAAAAATTATAATTTTTCTAAAACATTTATAAAATATTTTTGTTTAAAAGCAACTGTATTATAAGTGTGTCAGAACTTAAAATAATTTATAAAGTTATAACTCAAGTTTAAAACATTATATTTAATATATAAGATAAACTTGTAAAAAAAATTTAATAAATATGTGTAACAAGTACTATTTTTTTATTAAAAAAATTCAAAAAAAATCTCCAAATAATCTTCTCAGAAAGTATTAAAAAGTTGTAGACAAATAACAAAATTTATGTTTGGACCAAATCCCTAACAAAATTTAAAATCTACACTAAAAATATAAAAGATGAGTGAATTGTTCAACCTATGGTAACAGTGGTAGTAGGTAAACATAGAGAAACATAAAATAATCTCAAATTCAAATCTGACCAAACTGGTTTAAACTTTATGCTGTTTTTGAAGATAACATATTTTTTATTTTTGGTTCTTATTATATCATAGTTATAGTATATATCATTTTAAAAGGAAATTTTATAGTAAGATATTAAAAAGAATTATAAAATATTGGATGAGCAGAGGAACTCGACAAAGTAGAGGAGGCAGTGGATAATGTGGCGGATAGGGTGGATGAGATCGCGGAGAAGGTGGAAGAGTTTGTCGGCGATATCGCTGATGATCTTCCCGAAGGTAGTCAACTTAGAATGTCATTGGAAAAAGTCGAAAAAGTAGCTGATACCATTGGAGACAAAGCTAAAATGGTTTCGGATCTAGTCGACAAGGTTAGTTATATCAAATTCGTTTAACAAATTGAATTAGTAGTTATTGAGATAAAACTTATATTCGGTATTTTGCTAATTAAACAACAAGACTTAACTAATTTGATTAAAAAAATGTACATAGGATAAATACCTTAATTAGTCGGTTATACATGGTTGTTTATTTTTATACGACTATCCGTGACTTCATCAAAACACAATACGTTAAGCAGGTTAAGTCAAAAACTATGGCTTAAAATATTTTAGATTCTAATTATGAATGTATTTTAGGTTGTCTTCATGAAATGATTCAATCTTCGATTTTAGATGTTTCATTAACTAGGACACCCTAACCCCTTTTAAAAATCCAACATGCATTGGAGAGTGCACTTATTAGTAACATTGTGTCAAAGTACACTTCAACATAATTGTTAGACAAAAATAAGTTTTTGAGTATCTACGAGCACCACATACTTATGAGTTTCTTCTAGATATTCCAATTTATGGTCTAGGCAAGCATATGTCAGTACGTGTGTATCATATTATCATTAAGTATTGCCTCATAATTCCATTAGTATTT